CACGTCAGGTGCTCCTGTAATAAATCTACAGAATATTAACTTAGTCCGATTAATGGGGCGTCGTAAGCCTCTCGCTGCCCTATTGCTATTTCTATGGGGTGTGTAACTGCACCTTTCAGTTCCCCCAATTCTAACCTTCACGGATAAGACCCACCATGCCATGCCCATTGCAGCAACCCCCCCATTCCCTTCGTATTCCACTCGAAGCACTACTGTGTGGAACTGATACCGAAGGGATTCCTTCCTGTATCACTACACTATTAACTAGTTCAAGTGTAGGGGTTTATTTCATATATATCCATATAAGCTGTGCTTCTTTCCTCCGTAAGCTTCTACCTCGAGTGGCCCTCGGGCCTTATACAGGGTGAACATAATCATTATAAAAAAAGAGAAAATAAACGGACTAAAGTAATATGCTTATTGAAGGAATTATATAGATGTAGGTGGGGAGAGCTATAACTATGCAATGAGGGGATTGACTGATTTGTTTTTTACGGGTTATCAAACCTTTGTGGATTATTTAAAGCCTAATCCTACATTGAACCGTTAGCTGCGTCTACCGCAAGGAAAGTTGGTTCTCTGTGCCGTGCCAGAAGGTTTTTCTCATCCTACACATCTACAAATCTACCATTCGTTTATGCATGGAATACTGTTGCCATATATGGTCTGAAGCCCCTGCTGTTCAGCTTGAGGTTCTCGACAAATTCCAAAGTAGGATTCGCAATCAGTCCTTACTTGGGCATCTCGACTCCACTCGCTTTCTCACGGACGTGATGTGACTTCCCTCTGTTTTTTTTTTCTACAAATATTTTCATGACAACTGCCCTGACGAGGTAATTTCCCTGGTACCGCAGCTGCATGAATTTAAGCGTGCTACTAGACTAGGATCTAGGTCCTACCCTTTTTACTGCCAAAACAGTTAAATGTAACCCCCTCTTATACTCCAACAGCTTCTTCTCTCACATTTCCCGATAGTCGAAGTCCCTTCCTCTTGCTTGCTTCCCTGAAAACTATAATCTTCAAAAATTTAAATGTAATGTCAATCGACATCTTCTGATGCCTTGATCCCCGTTTTTCTTTTTATCCGTCTCTGTTCTTCTTTTTATCCTTTCCTCAATGTCCCCCCTCTGTACCCAGGCTTTTCCCTTACTTTCACTCTCTGTAACCTCCTTACATACATACTTATGACACTTCCACCTTGCTTCGGGTGAAATGCTTAAAAAAAAAGTTCAGATTGTTGTCGGCTGTTTATAGTGCTCGGTGTATCGAAGTAGTCCCTCATCTAAGTACTGACTAGGTTCGACACTGCTTAACTTCGCTGCTCGAACGAGAACTGTTGAACTGACGGTAGACCACACCGAGAAATAGTGATTTTCTAAGCGTGGTTTACATATGGAACAAGGTCGAAAATACGGAGCACCCAGCGAGGATCTAACTCACTTCTCAGTTGTAATTGATCTAGCTAGACAGGCTTGTTAACAAATACACCATGTTGAAGTACCTAAAGTGATGTTCTTATCGTAGCTTACATGTGGCACAAGGTCGAAAGTCTGGAGTACCTAATGAGGATCGAACTCATTACTCAGTTGTTATTGATCTAGCTAGACAGGCTTGCTAACCATTGCACTACGTCAAGTGTCCAGGCAATTTACTAACCGTAGCTTAGGTGTGGCACAAGGGCGAAAGTATGGAGTAGCCAGTGAGGATCGAAATACTCTGTTTAATCTAAGCGTAAATAAATATTTTCGGAATCTAATATCTAAATGAAATTTGTTCAAATAATATTTTCTTGAAATTAGGCAAAAAATATTTTCTTAAAATTATTGTAAATAATTGTTTTTAAATTACAAAGATTAATCCTTAACTGAAATTAGGTCTAATAATTTTTTTCATGAAATTAAGGTAAATAATGTTTTTTTTTTTTAATTAGGAAAAATTTGAAATTAGCTCAAATTATCTTTAGTTGAAATTTGGTCGTATAATCTTAAATTTAGGGTAAATTAGGTCCAATAATCTTTTTTTTTTAAATTAGGGTGAATAATCATTAACTGAAATTAGGTAAAATTTTCTTGAAATTAGGTCTTTTATTGAAATCAGGTCAAATAGGCTTTTATTGAAATCAGGTCAAATAGTATCTATGGAAATTAACTCAACTAATCTTTTTTTTTTATTGCAATTAAGTCAACTAACCTTAGTTGAAATCAGGTTAAATAATCTTTTCTTAAAATTGGGGTAAGTAATCTTTAATTAAACATTCAACTGGTGTCTGACATAAATGTAAGACATCAGATGAGCATTGATGTTCTATATTTTCGGACAAATGGCAAAATCCTCGCGAACTAAATGCCAGCTTCTTATCGCAAAAGTTGACAAAATCCCAGTCTCATAAAATAAATTGAAAATTCAAGGAATTTTTAATTTTGATTTTAATGTCAAATTAGAAATTTCTTCAGATAAAATCAGGTTTTATGGGATCCTAGAACTTCCTAAAATACGAAATATATCAAATTATGTGACCGTAGCATTGTTGGAAAACGTTTTTGATGGCTTAAATCTATTTTCGTATATCATCTACGTGGTTTGGAGATGACATAAACGATAAAAAAAACTCTTCTCTTAAGTCATTCTTCACATAAAAACCGGGTTTTATGGGATACTGGGATTCCCTAATTATGAAAGATTTAGAATATACGACTATAGGATTTTTAAAAAACGTCTTGTAGAAGTTGGATCGATTAATATGAATTTCTATTGCAAACAGAGCGGACCCGTAAATTCGAGAAGTACCTAACAGAGATAGATGAATTTACCGGCCACCATCGAGGCCACTGAACCCAGGAAAAAGAAACAAGATTGTATTCGCACACATCGGACAAAAACCTTCGCGTCTTGCCCCAAAAATCGACAAAACCCCAGTCTCATAAATAAATAGAAAATTCAAGGAACTTTTAATTCAAATTTTAATGTCAAATTAAGACAATAATAATATTAATATCAATATATATATATATATATATATATATATATATATATATATATATATATGTGTGTATATATATCAATATATATATATATATCAATATATATATATATATATATATATATATATATATATATATATATATATATATATATATATATATATATATATATATATATATATATATATATATATATGTATATATATATATATATATATATATATATATATATATCCAATATATATATATATATATATATATATATCACAATATATATATATATATATATATATATCCAATATATATATATATCAATATATATATATCCAATATATATATATATGTATATATATATATATATATATATATATATATCCAATATATATATATATATATATATATATATATATCAATATATATATATA